CCTTGGCTTTCTCGAAGTCGAAGTGCATGCCACTCTCGAAGATCATCAAGGCAACGCCTGGTCCAACGCGGGTCCCGACGTGGGTCCGCGGTGACGTGGGCGTCGAGGGGGGGCGGAAGTAAAAGTAACAGATGAGAAGATCACAGCAAGTGGCAGCACATGGAGGGCACAGAAGACTGGGAAAAGCTGGTGACAATAGAAGAATCCGAAAAAGACACAACTAAAAAAAAGCGAGAACCAAAGTTGTGGTAAACATTATTTTACTAAAATAATCAAAAAAATCTTCCTGACAAACTCCATGTGCAGGGGACAGGATTCTTGTGCCATCAAGACTTTCGACTTTTGGTCATCGTTCTGAGTGAGGTCCAATCATGTTGGATGTGCCTTCTGTTCACACTCTCCATCCTTGATTGTGTCGATGTGAACCAAAACTTTGAGGTAATACCACACCGGTTCTCGCTGGTCGCTACAGTATCCTCACCTCACCTTTTGACCGGTGTCCGGACGGGACGGGAGCACCTGCGTGGCCGATGAGGGTGAACACATCAGGCGTGAGCTGGCACTCGTGAGAGATCTGAGTCGGCCCACTGCGGTGGACGGTGCACAACGCGAGTACTGCGCGCGAACTCGTACGCGAGGATCCAGCTAGGCTAGTCTCCATGTGTAACAGCGGGTGTGATTAGAAATTTGGAAACTCTGCTTCTTGGTAGAGAAACTACCACTGGCTTAGCCCGCGGCCTCTTGCTTGCAACTCTTCACCAAGCACTCCTCAAGGCATGCCACGTCTTGTGTGCCGTCAAATCATCAAGTGCCGTCATCTACGCTTTGAAGAATTGCAAGCGCTGCCGCTGTCTCATCTTACCTTCATATCTCAATTAAAAAATAGCAATCGTTGTTGAATGCCACTGTCTGAGGCCCTACACGGGCATCGACTGTTAAAGCCACAACACATCTGAATCCACACCTGACATCGGTCATTGCACCCCCCCGGGATGCTCCGGAGACCGACTGGGAGACGCTCCGACGCCCCACGTCGCCCGGCCTCGTAGGACGCGTAGTTGCCACCGCCCGAGAGGCGGCGATGGCTGGCGCAGGGCGAGCCGGGATGGAGGGGGAAAGCCCATGGCGGTAAGCCAAAGGCGAATGGATGGTTACGGTTTCCCCATGTTTCACTAGCAAATGATGATGTATAGTCTGTAATATATAGTATAGAGATAGAGAGAGAAAGAGAGAGAGAGAGAGAGAATATGACAATGATGTACAATGATACAATAGTGGGAAGTTCGGCATCTTCAAAACGAACCACTAGCTTTGAGGAAGTCTCAGTCTTTATTTGGAGGATTCGTGAATCAGAGTATGTACATCCACACATCAGTCGCATGAACCAGCGACCCCCAGCGACCCCGCGAGTCCAAGCCACCTTCCATGGCCGGAGGCGCCATGCTCCTCGCCGTGGCCGGTCTCGCTGTGGGCTTCGCCATGGCCGGCCTCCTCATGGCTGGCTTCGCCGTGGGCGTCGTGGGACTCCTCATGGCTTGGTACAGCATGGTGCCCACTGGTGTCATCATGGGCCTCCTCGCCCGTATGGCTGGTTCCTGCCGCGGAGTGCTCGCCGCTGCCGTGCTCGCTGCCGTGCTCGCTGCCGTGCTCGCCGTGAGTGCCTTATCCAAAGGTTGAGCTGAGACAAAAATGAGAGAAACCGAGCGGAACATGCTGCCAAGACCAGATGCACTACAGAATTTGAATACAGGAGAATTGAAAAGGAAAAAGGCTGCCAAAACCATCCCAACCATGTCAAAACCATCCACCCATGAACTGTGGAAGGGATCATGAAAAAGAAGTGCTTCTGTCACCAAGGGGTGGTGTTGCGTCCCATCACAGTGACAGGGGCTTGATGGAATCGCTTGTTCCTGTCCTCCCGCTTGCAGAACAAGCCACCATTTCCATGGGCCGTGTCATTGGCACCATGAGCCCCATGAGCACCATGCTCATCATGATGGTAACTGGCCGAAGGATGGAGACGGAGATCTTCCAGGAACAAAAACAGCTACATAGATGGGAAATCTTGGGAAACGGATTCCATATTCTAAGTTCCAGTCCGTCAGTATACATGGTCGTCATGTCTCAAAGCCTTGGGAATCTGCTTCATCCTTTTGAGCCTCCAACCGGCCTTTTTGGACCCCTTCTTGGACCACCGCAACCAACCGCACACCCGGCGAGTCAAACCACACTTCTCCACCGACCGCGTGACGCGACCGCGGGACGCGGTCGGGACTGGAGGGGCGCACTCTTCGGCGTGGCAGAGGTCCATGTGTTGGATTCGCCCCAGGTGCTGGCGCGGCAGGAACCGGCGCGGACGGAACCGGATCCGGGTCAGATCCGCACGGACGCTGGACAACCCGCAGGCCCTCCAGCGAAAGAAGGGATGGGGGAAGGGAATCTGCGAAACGGAAGAAGGGGGCCGGGGCCGTTTGAGTTCATCCCTCGATTTCCATTGAGTGGAGGGAAAATATCCGGCAAGACCAAAAGAACTTCAGAACTTCACATTGGACATGAGGGCTCTCGGATTGCAACTCTTTTGAGCCACACCCAACTGTACACAGTGTGCATCGAACTTGAAATTCTCATCTTCCAACCCACCTGCTTCCGAAAAAGGTTGATAACTCCTTTTAGTGAACGAAGCTCGCCGCAGCTCACCATCATCCTTTTCACCGTTCATCCTGGACACCATCCACGAAGCGCTGAGCCACTGTGCCGCCCCCCACTCCACCAAGCCCCCCCCCCCCGGGCGCCTCGCCGATCGACAAACCGTTGGCAATCTGGGCAACCACGGAACCCGGTGCGTCGCTAAGTCAACAAACGCGACGAAAAAAAAACAACGCAACGTGGCACTCTTCTTGCACCAAAACGCCAAGCTGCTTTTTCTGACTGCTGGAACCGTCGAGCAATGCGTCCACTGCGTAACTGGAGTTGGCCCGCCTTGTATTCAAGGTCGTCGACTTCGCAGTCAGTATGCCTTGGAGAAAAAGTGCACTCAACTTCATCACTCCAGAATACCTCAGTCAATAGTTACAATAGTTCTCTCGTGGAAGAAAAGCGGCCAAAGTCTGTTACACTGTTACACTTCATGTTGGAGCAACTATCAGCCGAATTCGAAGCAAATGCACCCACCTCGCTTGTGAGCAAACGGTGTACTCCTTGCTGATGAGGCCAAGGATACTGGCAATCGGAGCATTTCACAGATCATTGTTCCTCATTCAGAACAACCTGGCTATTTTCCATCTACAAACTGCTACCCAATCTCCAGTTTCAATCTTCCTACAGGCCGTCTTAAAGCTTCAAACCAATCTGCAGTGGAAATACTTTTCCAGTCAAATCCTGGTGTCGTATCGAGGTCTATCAGGTGACAAGTGCTTGAAACACCGCGTTGCTGAAGAAACTGCGGAGTTGGCCGAGTTCTTTCTACCGTCACCAGCTTTGGGGTGCCACAAATTTTGGAGACTCAAATGCATTTGGGCGTGATAATGCATATCATTGCAATTCAAATTGATGGCATCATAAGCATCAGTGGTCAGTGGACTCAGTGGAGTGCTATCTTAAATGGGCATGAACCCCGTTCCCGCATGGCACCTGCCGAAAGCAACGAAAACCAGGCCAGCCGCACTCCGGGCCCAGGAGCACGCCCGTCGTGATGACGAGGACGATGTCGGACACGCCCAAAAGCCTGGGGGGACCGGAGACGACACGGCCGCCGGTGGCCTCCGGCGGCCTCCCCGGTGGTGTCTGCAGGACTCGACACAGAAAGCGTTCCAAACGGTTGGGGTTGTTGGAACACGGAGCTCCTTTCAGCAGCTGTTCGGCCGAAGTCCAAGCTCTTTCAGCAGCTCTGTTCAGCTGTTCCTGAGGTTCCTTTTGTTTGGCTGCACCGATCACCTGTATCTCATGCATGTGGAACATTCCTGGAATCCGCCATTCCATCCCCTCACCCCTGTCCCCTACTCTCCACCTCTCACCTCTCACGGGACCGGACCTCTACTTCAGCCGAGCAGCTTGGAGACCTTGGAGGCCGTCCACGTCGCGCCTAAGAAGCCGGCGATGGCCAGCATCGCAAGGTAGGAGCTTGCACCTGCCGGTACCGGCAGGACCGAACGACGTATCGGGAGCCGGCTCCCGAGCCGTGTGACAGTTGGGCTCAAATGGAAAAGAACATCCAGAGTTAGACTGAGCCATTTCATGTAGGATATACTCTAGAAGATCCACATCTTGAAAAACCAACCGGACACGTTCTTGTGTTGCACTGGCTTTGGATCGACTCCCCAGCAGGAAGGTCTGCTTCGGCACGCACCTCCCATGGCTGGCTAAAATATCTAGGCCTCGGCCCGGATGTCATCCGACCCTCCCCCCAAACGAAAGACCATCAAAAGCCCATCGAAAGCCATCCACATCAACCAGCCATCCACCTCCAACACGAGCAAGACTTGGGAGCAAGACTTCCAAAGCGCTCCGTTCGTAGCGATGGCCTCCAACCTACGACCGCGATGGCCTCCAACCTACTTTTTAGCGTCCGAGTCCCTACGCTGCCTACGTCCGGTGGCTCTGAGGTCCGCACCTGGGTTCACGTTGGTTGAAACTCGTTCTGTCAGCCCCCCCCGCTATGCTTTTTCAGCCGACAGGGTCTGCGCACGTCCATCATCGACCGGGTCGCACCGGGCCCCCGGCGCCAACGTGAAGAGACAACGTGGCTCAATCTCACTCCGGTGCTCAAGTCACGGGAGCCAAGATGACAAGAAATCACAGTGGAATGGCATACATCTGAGATCATTAGCATCTGAGATAATTAGAACAAACATATATTATATATTATACGCTTCCTATTTTGCATTCCTATTCTTTCCTTCCAGTGTCCTTCAAGCGCCACCAACCACGTGAGCTCTTCCAAGTCGCCCCGACCACCGACCGCCGAGCGGGTCGCCCCCCCGGACTTCGACGCGCCCAACGTCCTCAAGGACATCCACTCCTTCCGGAGCTCCGGCGAGTTCCTGGCGGAACGAGCGGAAGGAACGAACGAACGCAGCTCGTGGTTCAAGTTTGATCGGTTGGTCAAGTTTGCAAGTTAAGCAGTGTGGCAACAGAGAGAAACACCCCAAAATCCCTGACCTTTGGAACTTTGGTTGTTTCATGTTGTTTCCATACAAAAAGGATGAAACAGCCACAACGTGTCTAAGTTCATGGCAAGGCAAAGGACACAAACTCTCCCGAGTAGGTCGAGCGAGCTGCAGCAATGGCCGCCTGGTGCCACGGACTGGAGAATACCAAGCAGTTTGGGAGAATGGTATGGGAACCAAGAATCTCCTTCGAATACTAAGCAGTTTTGGAGTAGAATACTAGTAGAATGGTAGGCAAGAATTGGGAGAATGGGAACCAGGAATCTCCTTCGAATTCCTTGGGATGCTATGAGGATCATCTACGAATCTACGCCCGTCATTGTTGTGAATGGCCAAATGCAGGCTATCGCTGGTGCCGTTCGTTCCGTTCCGTTCCTCATCCTGATCCGGATCGTCGAAGTAGAGAAAAAGGTGCGCAAACCCAATGAGTCGGAACCTGGCGGCGGCTTCCGAAGAGATGCGCGGGTTCCGCGTCGAAGTCGGGATGCGCGTGTTTTCTCTGCGGATGGCAACGGAGTCGCGGAGTCGCGGGGTCGTTGTGATGGAGGACAACTGGAGCTTGGGGTTCGGGGCACCAAAAAGTGAGTAGACTGAGTAGACCAAACTCAGGAGACTCAGGCCAGCACCATTCGAGCCACTGGAGGAATTGATCCTGCAATGAAACCCGACAACCAACTCCTCATGGCATGTGATCTTTGTGATGCATTGAACAAAAAGATACAAAAAGTGTGAACTATCGACCCCGCCTCGACGTCTCGCAAGGTAGAAACCAATGCCTGAAACGACTTCACAGAAACATTTGGCAAGCACCTCATCGTCGTCGACATGGTCACTCTTGGCAGAAAGCCCCGGCAAGTCCAATGGTCCAATGCTAGGTCAACTCACGAGTCATCGACGCAGGATCTTGGACCCCGTGCAACTCGGATGTCTGAGGGACCACAGAGTGGTCCCAACCTCAGATACTTCGTTGATCAACGTGGAAAATCAGTGAATCAGCGGGCTTTGAAACAGAGACATTGGCGACATTGGTCAACACATGTCAAAACCTAAGTGACCAAACCTAACTGAATTTGTCTGTGCTTAGGAATCTGTCCATCCCCACAAGCTACTGAAAACAGATCGATTGCTCTCTAAGGCCCCCCGACTTTCCAGACCCTCGTTGCAAGAACGGAGCTGGGGCAGGAGCTCCGGCCCGAGCGCCCGCCATGCGGAATGCGGAATGGCCGGCGCGGAGTTCCGGCGGGTGCTGTTCAATCGTTGTCCACGAGTGGTTCAGCTGCTTCACCTACTTCCATCTACTTACCTCAACCATTTATTCACAAATTTGGTTGAAAAAAATGCCGCCTAACCAAACGACGCCTTTCAACAGGAGCCGAAGGGACGATGGGAGGACGACGACGGGACCAAGCCATCCGCTTCCACCCAAGCAAGGGAAACCTCGCACCAAAACAACCAGAAGTGAACTCTGCGCAAGCGTCTCTTTTGTCCTACAGTGGCCCGAATGGCATCGTCTGGACTCCTCAGCATCAAGCGATGCAATCTCAACACTTCAAACCTGTTACATCCCATCAGTGAGCGAAAATATTGAAACCAAAGAACAAACGTTGAACTGAACACTTCCATGTGCTACCGACCCCGAAAGCAGGTCAAAAAAACCTTCATGAAGATTCCGCAGATCAGAAAAGAACCCCCCAGCCACCCCGGACCCAGTCTCTTCGAAGAGGTACGCCGAGGCTGCCTTCGCTTGCTCGGCCCTGCGCAGGCGGAGCCACTGCATGCAACCATTATGTCTTCCATCCTTTTGGAAAGCCAATAGGTTGGAGGCCATCGCCATTAGGTTGGAGGCCATCGCTATTGGGTTGGAGAGTCACTTTGAACCAAAGTCTGGAAGCCAGCACGAGCACGACGGTCATCCCTGCGGCGTCGAATCCTGCCTCACCGGTTGTGAGCAACGCGCTGGCGTGCAACCTTGGGGAGGGAAGAACTACATGACACCCCGTGGCAGCCATGACTCACGCCAAGCATAGATAAGACCCACACAAACGGAGTTTATCACATACCTTCTTCAAAACAGTTGCTACAGTATGTGAAAATGACATCACATCTAGTTTACAAATACTTTCCAGCCGCTGCAGACCCAGCGTGAAATAAGGGCCACACCTGAAGGACCGCGCGTCCAACTCTGTATCACCTCTTGAAGCCACTCGACGTTGCAACTGGACAGGGAAGGGGTCAAAACATCAAGGACAAGCGATCTGCTGTATGTTGGGATTGGATTTCATCTCCTATTTGAGGGAGCTGGCAACTCCCACCATTATGTCGGGCACGCCAGCCATAGATACAAGGAGCCAAAATAGTTTTATAAAGCAAAAACAAAGCAAAAAAACAAAAGGCAAAGCAAACAAAAATGCAAAAAAATGTAGCTGTGCGTATTTGTCGTTTTTTTCACTTCTTTTCGCTTTATTTTCGCATCTTTTTCGCTTTTGTTTCGTTTTTTTCGTTTTTTCCTAGGAGGGTACAGCAAAAACATATTTGTCGCGGTTTTTTCACTTTTTTCGCTTTATTTTCGCACTTTTTTGCTTTATTGTCGCCTTTTTTTCGTTTTTTCGCTTTTTGTTTTGCTTTGTTTTTGCTTTTTTCTTTGCTTTTGCTTTGTTTTTGCATTTTCATTTGCTTGTATTTTGCTTTTTTTCACCCTTTTCACAAAAAAAACTATTTGATGGTTGGCCATGTATGGCTGCCATCGCCCAACATAATCTCACCACATTGGTTTTCGGGAACTGATTGCACACGGTCGAAACCACGCCTCGCGCCGGCGCCAGGGGATCGCCGCTTCCAAACCTGAACCAGCATGGAACAGGGAAGAAATGTTCCGCCTCTACAAGAGTCCTTATAGACCTGCTCTACAAAAATACAGAGCTTGCAAAGATTTGCCCTGATTGTTGACAGAACTTGCAGCTCAAGCGGTTTCAACTAGCGAGAACAGTTGCAGTGCCGAGCTGCAGTCCAAATCGTGGGGGGCTTTCAACCCCAAGGTCCTTCGCAAACAACTCAGTGAAGTTGTGGCAGTTCCTGTCGTATTTGGATGTATTTGGTGCGTTTTCAATCCTCTGTGAGTTGCCCGGGGATAGGTTGCACTAAGCATTCTGCCATTACTCTATGTACATTGGAGGCTCTTCCCCGAAAGAAGGTCGCAACCGCAGAATTTGTCTCGAAAGGTTGTAAAAATTAAAAAACAAAGATGTAAAAACCAAGTGTCTACAACATGCCCAGCACAAGGGGACTTGGGGCCAACAACACGCTCTACAAAATGGGCAGGTTCCAATTGGGGATGGATAGAGGTCTGGTCAGGAAATGACCTACAAGCGCTCGAAGCCGAGCATGATACTTTCCGTATAGATGCAAGTTTTTTGCAAGCCAGCTAGATTTCAAAATAACAAGTCACAACCCATGTTGTAGAGCGCCTCACTTTTGAAGAGTTCGCGCATGCGATCCCTGCATCCCCCTGCCAAATCCCCAGCACAATGCAAAGTTTTATGGAACATGCTTTCCCGCGTGTCCAAAACCACCTTAAATAGTAAGGATCCACAGTTGTCTACAATTAAAATCACAAGTCTGCAAATCAGCATGTTGTGGCGCACTCTCAAACTGCAAAGCCTCAAAGTGCAGGTTAGGTCCTAATAAAAATGCCTTAAGCCAGTGGTCAACATGTCCCATTCTGTAGAGAAAGCGCGCGGGCGGATATGCATTTTTTCATTGAATCTCAATGGAAAGTGGAATTGTAATGCCAACCATTACCAACCCATTTCATATTACCCCAAAACATCACTGTCGCCTCTTCCGGGCAGACACGCTCGAGCTCGTCCATTGGAAAGTCCCAAACTACGTGGTATAAATGCAGAATGTGCACGCAAGCGATGGAACCCGAAATTTCTCAACTTAACTAGGTCTGAGGCCCACCCCCAAGCCCCCCCGCAAGTACCCAACCTGGAGCTTGCGCTGTACGACGACGCCGGCCAACGTTGCTGAACCCACCTCAGTTTTCTGGCTTTGTCTTGTTTCAGATTTGACACAAGCAATTGTTGCCAAAAACATGTGCGAAGTGTTGGTGTTGCCGGAAAGCGTCAAGAACTCTCTTGGTGCTGTCGCCATTGGGCTTGGATTGATTCAAGGAACTGTCCCTCCTTTCCTAGGCCGATGATCTGATTGTGGCCACGTCACGGCATTGCGAGTTCGAACTCCTCCACGTTGAGCGTGGTTGTGCCCAGTATTACCTGGAAGGACGCAAGGATCTGGCAGTTTTGCCTACATCGAACCCATCAAAGTGGCACGACGTAAATGTCGCCCAGTCGCACTGGTGCGGTGGCGGTGGACGGGGTGTTTTTTGGGCTGGGCCCAATGAACCCCCGTCACACCCGCTCCGCCGCCCCCGCCAAAGCTCCACTCGCGCCCAAAGACCTCCACACCTGCGCACTTGCGTTCGGCCAGTTATTTGCGGCGCGCGTGAGATTCAAGCAAGAAAGGGCAAGCAGAAAGCTGAAACAGGAAGGGAAGAAGGAAGGCCCAAATTGGGCTAGTGGCAGTTGTGGTCGCGTTGGGACCCTCAACAAGCTAGGAAAGAAACAAATCAATCTCGACGCAGAATATCCGCCTGTGTGGAAAAGCCCAAAGCGTGTGGTCAATGGGTTTATCGTTCCTCAGGGCAATTCATCGGCGTCACTAGTGTTGTGTTGAGCAATGGCAGCCATACATGACCAACCATCAAAAAAATGTTGTGTGGAAAAAAAGCGGAAAAAAAGCAAAACAAAAGCGAATGAAAATGCAAAGGCAGCGCAATTTGCTTTTGTGTTTTTTCCTGTTCTGCACTTATGAGAACTTTTACCCGTCAGCAATATTTGCTGTACCCTCCTAGGGAAAAAAGTGAAACTGAGTTTCCAAAAACGGACGATGCTTTTCTTGAGCCATGAACAGCGTTTGTTGGTGCTAAGTGGTGTATGTCACACCTATGATCACATCAAGTGAAAATGCAGGGATTCACACTCCCCCTGATGGTTGTACCATCATTCAAACATGCGTCGGCACTAGGTTTTTTCATCCAGTGCTGCGCAGAAATTCAAAGCTTCCGTCCGACTCACAGTCCTCATCTTGTCGTTCACCATCAAGGTGAGGATGTTGTTGAACTGCCGTCTCAATTCCAAGCCAAATTGGCCATTGGTCAGCTTCGGGAGGGAAGTGTTCGCTTGAATTGGCCGCTTGGGACGTCCCTTTCGTCACCTGGCCGGAGTTGTTTCCGCTCTCCCCCCGATGCTCACGTCCTTGGAGCCTTAGCTCATAGCCCGTCTTCGTGCCACCCTCGATGGACTCAATGTCACAAGCACTGATGCCCCTTCCACCGTAGGTGACTTCCTCGCCTTCTATCGTCTCTGAACCTTGTAAGGCCTCTCGACCTCGTTGCACTGCTCTTGACCTTCCTGGAATGGAGCCACCATAGCCCCCGTCTGCGGCCACCGATCCCGGTGGGGGAAGTGGTCCCGGCCTGACATCACGTCGGTCGAGATTTCCTGCTCTTCCTTCTGGGAGGGCCTCAAACTTCACGTAGAAGAAAGTGTAGCCACACCATTCATGAAGCCCTTCCACATCTGAGCCCCTGTTCTCGATCCAGTCATCGGTGATGACCACTCGCTTCCAAACTTCTCGCGGATTTCCCCGCGAAAAAGCCACCGTGACTCTGGTCGCCGAGAGTCTTGCTATCGACATTGGGGTTCCACGATGCAATGGATGGAAGGTTCGCACTCGGAACTTCTTCAGCGCCCTGACCCACCATTCACCACCACCGAGGCCCACACCAAGACATTCCCACCTGTCTGTTCCAGTAGGCGGCGTACTAAACCTCATCAGCTCCCATGGAAGATCCGTGCCAAGTCCCACATGGGTGATTGGTGCCCTCAAAGCACTCACCCGCGGAAGCTGCCGAATCCATGGCCCGCGCGCAGATGCACCGCCCGGGGAGCCCTTTGGGCTAAAGTCGCGACCGGAGTTGGAGACAGGTTCATTTTCCCTTGTCTCTTCTTGACATTTTCTTCTTTCGACACTGCCCTCTTTGGACGCCCCTGTCCGAGCAAATGCCGGTTCACCCTCTTTTTTGGGGTCATCTCCACCCTTCCTACCCATCAGCCAAGCTACACTTGAAGCTACCGCTGCAATGGTCACACTTTTGGCGACCTTGGCAACCGCATCAACTGGCTGCCAACATG